ACGGTACACCTCATGGAAAAATAACTGAGCCACTTTAACAGCATCTGTGGTCTTTTTGCAGGGAATAAAATATGCCATTTTCGAAAAACGATCGATGACCACATAAATAAAGTCCATACCCCGTTGAGTACGAGGAAGGCCCAAAACAAAGTCCATACTGACGTCGACCCATGGCTGGTTAGGAATGGGCAGCGACATATACAACCCCACATTTGTTGCAGCACCCTTAGATAATTGACACACCATGTAATTCTCAACAAATTTAGTGATCTCGCGTCGCATAGATGGCCAGAAATAAGAGTATGACACTAGATGAAATGTCCTGTCTCTCCCCATATGTCCATCATTGTGCAATTCACTAATAATTTTCAAACGTAAGCTAGACTCTGGAATGCACAACTTATTCCCCTTGAATAGAAAACCATCATGCATTAGAAAATTAGAATGTAGGCCAGATGCTACATCTCGCAAGATTGGTCCAAAGTATGGATCAACAGATAATGATTCTCGTAAAGAATCAAAACCCAACACCTGATTTCTCATGGTTGTAAGAAAATTCACCCTTCTACTAAAGCATCTGCTACTAGGTTTGTTTGTACCATCCTTGACCAATCCCGAAACTACTAAGCACCAGTCAACATCATACCGTCAAAGACCCACAAGACTTTTCCTCTAACCAGGAGACCAATCACAACACGACACATGTCGGTATCAGAAGCCAATCACAACGCGACACGTGTTGATATCAGAGGCCAATCACAACACGACACGTGTCAATGTCAGAACAAAGCTAGAAACTCTCTTCTATAAAAGGGGATCATTCTCCCACAATAATCCCTAATGTCATTTGTACTAAACTATTCACTAGAACTCACTAAAAGAGAGCTTGAACCTATGTATTTGTGTAACCCCTTCACAATTAATGAGAACTCCTCTACTCCGTGGACGTAGCCAATCTGGGTGAACCACGTACATCTTGTGTTATTTGCTTTCCTGTCTCTATTCATTTACATACTTATCCACACTAATGACCAGAGCAACCTAGCAAAGGTCACAAACTTGACACTTTCTGTTGTACCAAAGTCCTCGCCCATTTTGTGTATCAACAAGGTTCATGGCTCCTGATTTGTGCTTTATAACAAAAGTAAATTGCTGTAAATAAGACACCCACTTAGCATGTCTAGCAAAAAGCTTGTCTTGTGAATTGATGTGCTTTAGAGCCTCGTGATCAGAATACAAAATAAACTCATTATTTGCCAAATAAGAACTTCAATGCTTAAGAGCTCGAACAATAGCATAAAATTCCACATCATATGCGCTGTAATTCATTTTTGACCCACTCAATTTCTCATTGTAAAATGCTATAGGCCGTCCCTCTTGGCTCAACACAGCCCTAATACCCACTTTGGATGCATCACAATGCAACTCAAATGGTTTGCTAAAATCAGGCAAAATGGTTAATAGTAGATTCTACAAACGCTATCAACCTTAAGAGCTCGTTTGTGATTGCTTTTATAGGAAGAATTTATGCTTAGAAGTTATTCTACTGGAAATGTATTCATTAGAAACGCGTTGAATTTTTATTAAAAATTCAAGTATTTTCTAACAATCCACTTTGAAAGTGCTTTCTGAAGAAGTCTTGCATGTGCATATGTAGAAAACACTTCGATGACTTGAAAGTACATTTAACTTTTTTATGTCAATCCCGACCAACAACATATTTAGTTGTCCTAAAGTAATTTTGGCCCTTTCAAAAGTAGTATAGAAACATCTAATAAACTTTATTATTAAAAATAAAGTATACAAGCAGTGTCTCAAATAAGGGTTTACAGTTCTAAACCATCAATAAGTGGTCTGCCTTTTTGATGAGATAATAGTTGTTTGTTTGTACCTTGTAGAGACTGCTATACAAGTATGAGTTTTGAAAACTATACATGTTTTATAGTGAGAGATTACTATTTTATGATAAACAACGGTTTTACAAAACTTTATTTTCAACCCACTCACATTTTCTCTTTTTTGTTTTTTTTTTTGGCGAACAAGATAATATATTATCCGGGCAAAGATGCCAAAGAAACAAAGAAGCCTATCCCGAGGCAAATAAGCCAATAACAGCAACTAGAGAGAAGTAGTACAAGGAGGTACAAACGACACCGCATCTAATGCTAAAAGTGTCACTCCTCATACTACCAAGAAGAGATTAAGGGGGACAAGGAAGACCATCATTATTCATTACACAGAACATGCACAAGGTAGCATGGGGGTCTATTGACCCAACTATTATCACATATTTCCCTACTTTGTCGCGAGGCCAAAATTCGCAGCCATATTAGCCGATCTTGGAACCCAAGACCAACGGCAGTCATGAAAAGCCTCCCCCAGTCCTTTGCTCCGCTCTAGAATTGGGAACATTTCCCAACTGCCCATCGTAGCCAAATCTCAAAGACAAGAAATAGATTCCAGAGAGTCAAATTCCACGATGACATAATTCCATCCCATATTAGTTCCTAACTTACAACCATGTAGCACAGCCAATGCTTCCGCCACAGCCGTAGTAGAAGCCGTCACCTTATATCTGCCAGTTGCCACAAACCTGCCCACTTCATCCCGAGCCACCTTGCACCCCTCCAAGACCTAATACCTAAGCTCTTGTGTAGATGAAAAATAACTGGCATTAGCTGACTAGCACTTAAAAAAATGTAGGAAGTTAATTTCCATTTTGTATAAATATCCATACTACTAGGATGAGAATATTCTTTACTTTATGCTGCACTGGTACTTATGTCTTGAAATTTGTATTGTGATAAGATTTCAACCTTGCTCACTAGCGCACTCTTATTTTAATTACGTAAAATTTTAAATTACAAGTTTTCCACATCATGATCATTTTATAACTTTATTACCTTCCAGGTGTCATTCAATATGCCTTGATTGGGAGTGTATTAGTTTTTCGATAACCAAGGAGATATATTGTTATATCACTAAGTTGGAGTCATTTTTACATAAACTTTTTTGTTGTCAAAATGTAAGACTTTATTAAATTTGAATAAAAATGTTTACATCATACACCAAAATAATGAAAATCAAACTCAGGACCAACAAAATTCTACAAATGAGAGCCGCCATGCCTAGCCGCATATGAGGCCAGAAAGTGTGCTCCCCTATTGCTAGCTATCACAATGGGAAAACAAAAACACAACGGATCTCATAGTTCTAGCTAAAGCCCAGATATCATAAACTTTTGGTTCAAATTTGTAGAATTATCAAAAAGACTGGTCAAAGACTCACTTCCAATAATACCAATATTATCCTTAACTTGGTAATTACCACCTGCACAATCCGTCAGGTATGAGATTTTATCACTAAAGGTCTCGGTATTAGTTGAAGTGAGATCAGAATATTTAAACTCTTCTTTTATCAGAGATACGATCAATGTAAGATGTTTCAATAAAATTCTACATAGAGTAAAAAATTGAGCTATTTGTCCAAGTCTCCCACCAAATACAATGTTATGTATGCATTATTATTTTGAACAGTTTCCTGTCCCACATTCTTACATATAACAAAACTCAACTATCTACAGCAGCTTCTACATTTTAATTAGCTGGATTGCTTCATTATTTCGTTTATGAATCCCATCAATTTTTGAATGAACATAACATAAACTTTATGTTTGTCCTCAAGTAATGCGGTTTTTGCGATGGAATCCCAAAGCTACCCACACCACACCACACCACACCTTCTTAATCTCTTTCTTAATTTATATATTTGGGTCTTTAGTCATCCACTTTTTGCGTCACTCGCCTTCCTCACCCCAAATTAGTCGGTCACACCCTTTTTCCAATACAAATCGTGATTGCAAATTCTGAGTTTACATGTATCACATCTGAGTTTACATGTAACTAACTTTCGGAGGAGTTGAAATTAGTCCATATCAGTAAGTCAATATCGTAGTGGTTGCACACTAATGTCCCAATATATATATTCTTTTTCTTTTGAGTACAACGATATATTTTACATTAAGGGGAGAAGGAGTTCGGTTAAACCACACAATGGCCAACCTAATTTGATATCGAATTCGTCATTCACGATATTCAAACCTATGACCTCTTACTTACAAGTAAAGAGAAATACCGTAATACTGAGTGACACTAATGTCCCAATTAACTAACCTATTCCTTTGCCACCATATTAGTTTTATATTAAATGCATATCAACATTTGATAGAAAAATTTAAATTTTTTTTTCTTTTTACGAAAGTCTAGCATTACAACGAATTCGTAAGTTGATACATGACATTGCAATATTTAAAATATGAGGTATAAGATTGTCATGCAACCCAAAGTTGAGGTGATAAAATTTACTTTACCCCAAAAATAAAGAAAATTTGGCTATGTAGCTAGCTACTAAATTTGTTAGCTAAAATGATGAAACTTAAGAAGAAATATATTTCACATAAAGAAAGCTGAGATTCTACCATAAAACTAAGCAATATGAGAATGAGCCAAATTACTTATGAGCCATATGCAAGGTCTCTCCTTTCCCCAACATGGAATTGATTCCCTCAACAATCCTCTCACGTATGATGAATTTTCAAGTTTAGCACATGAAAAACACAAATCGGATTATGTGGAGCATGTGTGGCCATTAGGTTGGTATTCACACGAAGAACGACCTACTCTATACCATGAAGAAAGTTAAAATTTTATCATAAAATTAAGTGACAATATAAAAAGTAACTCAATTACTTATAACTACATGCAAAATCGATTTCTGCAATGAATAATTGATTGGGCGAATGTTCAGTGGGCAACCATCCACGCCAAACTAAAAAAAATGCACGTGCCAGCCGGCGTGTGAAGCCTATTATCCTTTGTCTCCTTCTCTAGGTGGTTGTTGGTGCTCCCGCCGATGGTTGGCATGCATTGGTCAAACACGTGACCCTCATCTACCCTCTTTCCCCTCTATTCCTTATATAAATACAACCCACTTCAATCAACATATTGTCACAACCTCTCCTCTAACAACACCACCTATAGTTCTAGCTTTAGCTCTCTGTCGTATTTGATCTTTCTCGACGATCGGACATATAAAAAAAATGGTGACCGTCGAGGAAGTTCGCAAGGCTCAGAGGGCTGAGGGTCCGGCTACAATCTTAGCTATTGGGACTGCAACTCCTCCCAATTGTGTAGACCAGGCCACATACCCCGACTACTACTTTCGTATCACCAACAGCCAGCACAAGACTGAGCTCAAAGAAAAATTCCAACGCATGTGTATGTACTACTTAACTTCCTCTCCATATTTATTCCTTCTGTGAATTAATATATTTTGTTTAGTTTGCTATTTGTCCTTTTTTTTCGCTGATCGAGTGCTAAATTGCTACAAAATTGTTAGAATTGAGCGAATTCTAAATTGCTACAACACTCACTTGATATTCATCGAAGTGCTTGACAACTTCATTATGCATATCTGTGGGGTATGCTGATTTACCCTTTATATTTGTGGTGAATCGGTATAAGATTGATGGACATTTCATTTTATATTGTAAATTAATTAAAATCAATTTTCTTTTCGAGTAAGGTCAACCAAAAGAAGTTTCCTTAAAAGCAAGAAATTAATTTTGATTGACCCAAATTAATATTAAAAGTATTTCGTCATCTCAAACAAATTACCCCATCTCAAATGCTTTCTGTTTTTGGGAGTGAATTCCGTGTAAAGACCAAACCACAACTATCATACAAATATCAAAACTACAACTCAGTAAATGTAAGAACCAAACTGACCTTTAAAAGCAACCAAGAAAAAGTTATACAAGACCTCAAAATAGTGCATCTTCTCTGTAGAGATTGAAGACGATGAATCCAACAATCTTCTATAGCAAACCTTCTCCTCGTTGACAAAACCTTAATGCTCAAATTAACAATAGGCCTTTGATTCAATATAGAGCGCATATTTTGCAAAACCGGATGCCTACAATATATAGCCTACTATATATACACGTTCAATCCACTTGCCAGTGGATATGACATTTTTGTTCAACTGCATTACGAGTTCACCCTTTCCCTTTCCCTCAATGTAGCTTAGATTAGTAGTATCACTTGTACTAAAAACAAATTGTGTGGTAATTAACTTTTCTTGTGACGTTTATGTAATTTTCAGGTGACAAATCTATGATCAAGAAGCGTTACATGTACTTGACTGAAGAAATTCTGAAAGAAAACCCGACTGTGTGCGAGTACATGGCTCCCTCACTCGATGCTCGGCAGGACATGGTTGTTGTTGAAGTCCCAAGGCTTGGCAAAGAAGCGGCCACCAAGGCAATTAAGGAATGGGGACAACCCAAGTCCAAAATCACCCACTTGGTCTTTTGCACCACCAGCGGTGTTGACATGCCCGGTGCCGACTACCAGCTCACCAAGCTATTGGGCCTCCGGCCCTCCGTCAAGCGCCTCATGATGTACCAACAAGGCTGTTTTGCTGGAGGCACGGTCCTCCGTTTGGCCAAGGACTTGGCCGAAAACAACAAGGGTGCACGTGTTCTTGTTGTGTGCTCTGAGATCACCGCGGTCACCTTCCGGGGGCCTAGTGACACCCACCTTGATAGTCTTGTAGGCCAAGCTTTGTTTGGCGACGGTGCAGCTGCCGTCATCATTGGTGCGGATCCATTGCCCGAAGTCGAGAAGCCCTTATTTGAGCTGGTGTCTGCGGCCCAAACCATCCTCCCCGACAGTGATGGGGCTATTGACGGGCATCTTCGTGAAGTGGGGCTTACGTTTCACCTTCTCAAGGATGTTCCCGGGCTTATTTCGAAGAACATCGAAAAGAGCCTTAATGAGGCCTTCAAGCCTATAGGCATCTCGGACTGGAACTCGCTCTTCTGGATTGCACACCCAGGTGGCCCTGCTATTCTGGACCAAGTAGAGTCTAAGTTGGCACTTAAGCCAGAGAAACTAGAAGCAACAAGGCAAGTGCTGTCTGATTACGGCAACATGTCGAGTGCGTGTGTCTTGTTTATTTTGGACGAGGTGAGGAGGAAGTCTGCTGAGAAAGGACTCAGAACAACTGGAGAAGGACTGGAGTGGGGCGTGCTCTTCGGATTTGGGCCTGGCCTCACTGTCGAGACCGTTGTGCTTCACAGTGTGGCTGCTTGAAGACATGAAAATCAGCGTTGATTTATCTATCTGCTTCTGCTTCGTATATGTATTGTTTTCACTTTTTTCTGGTTAGAATTTGGCTTTTCGGATTTTTTGTTTTTTTTTTTTTTTTGAAAAGTGTGTGGGCGTCATGGGGTTAACTTGGTGCAAGAAAGGACCCTGACTTTCATGTTGTTAACTGCAGTATTGATGAAAAAAAGGCCCTGATTGAGCTTGTAATTTTATGTTTGATCTCTCGTGTTGTATAATCTCTTAGCTGCATCTCCATTTCAAACAATGTTGTAGAGCCCTGCCCCTGATTTAGGATTCGGGAAGTCTCCATTTCAAACCAAACTTGTTGCTGCTGTATCATTTGAACTTTCATTATCAACTTGTGAGTGTGCGTAACTTTTTTATACCCCAACCCAATAAACATGTTTCTACAGCTTGTGCAATGACCTCACCACGATGTGGAGTGGGAACCACCCGAAAATTGATGATTCTTTTTTGTAACACCCAATCTTTGTCAATGAAATGTACAGTAAGACACATACATCCAAGATTCTGAGTAGACTTCCACAAGTCAATTGTGAGACTCACTTGAGAATTTGAAGATCCAAACATCTCCTTCAGTTTTTTTCTTTCCTCTGCATACAATTGAACACAATCTTTTGTAGTTGTTGTACATGACAACAATTAAAATCTTGGTTGTGCAGCATTCATAAATATTTTGAAACCTTCCTTCTCCACAAAGCTAAATGGTAATTCATCAACAATAATCATTCTAGCAAAGAGTTTTCGGCAATGCTCTTGGTCAAATTTCCAATTAGAAAGAGACTTTGCTGCTGTAAAAACAAGAGTTGTTGTTTCTTGTCCCCGCTATAAGGGTACTTCTTACACTTCTTTGTATGCCTTTCAAGTGTAGTGGTTCCATTGGTGCTAGAGCATGCAAATGTTTTCTTACAATAGGTGCATTGTGCCTCACCAGACCTACTTCCATCCGCATTTAGAAATCTTTCATAATGTGCCCAAACTTTAAGACTTGGATTCATACTCTTTTGTGTTTAGATGGTACCTGAGGTTTAATTGTAACATTTTGAGGCTCTACAAGAGTAGCTGTCAGAGGCTCTCTTGGAGTAGTTGTCGGATTATGTTCTGCCATATATAACAATCAAATAGACCTGAATAATTAACACATGAAACAAAATATTAACATATGACAACAAAAATAGCTGATAGGAAGTAACATAAACATATAAGACAGAAAGATGTCAAAATTTTAATTAAGTTTGTATAAGGGAAGTGTTATTGGCACTCCAAAAATCTCATTCTACACTTCTCATAAGTGTATTTTTCTTTCTAAATATAGAAACTTTGGAGTGTAGAATGAGAATTTTTTAGTGTCAATAACAATTCCCTTGTATAATCATACATAAGGAACTAAGTAATTGAGATTTTATCAAATATGCATGGATGATTACCTAGAATTTTTTTTTTAATTCTTTCTTCACTTTCAGCGATATGATTCGAAAGAGCAAACTTTTAATGTATATTATACTATATTATGTAATATATATGTATATTATATATATGATTAAACCAATAGGTCCACTGATCAAGGAGAAAAGGCTTACTGTTTTGTTTAGGCAGAATGAAAGAGGTAGACTGAGTTGTTAAGCAATTGCTTCTAGACACAAAGAATTTAGGGTTTGGAGACTAACAATTTAATATATAGCTTTAGCATTTAGAGACTGCAAGTATGGGCTGACTAATCAAAACCTCTTATTCCTTTTTTTTGGATTATGGATTTAAGGGGTAATTTATTAAAAAAATATATATATTAGAAAGGATGTGGGTTTTTGGATTTGGCCCACTTGAGTGTAATATGAGTATTAATTGATATGGGTCACAGTCGGGTTTGGTTAATCATGTTGGGTTGGGTTGGGGATGGACGGACAAATAATCAATTCAACTCAACTCAATCAATAAACGGGTTGAAATTAGGTTAGTTTCGGACGGGTTATAACTAAAAAAAACCCACTTATTTAGGTTTAAAGTCAAGTTGGACATGGGAGGGTTCAGATTAGCCCAACCCAAGTTGCACCAGTACTTGCAATACACATTTTAAGTTGTAATGACTATTAACTGTCACCTAATAGAAATTTAGTCAGAGGAAAGCTGAAATGCCTCTGTGAGTCTTCCCGGCCTCCAAGAGAGGTAGATAACCATGACTTTTTATTAAAAAAAAAAAATTGAAATTTAGTCATAATTGATTTGATGAAATAGTATGCTTATGTGAGATTTGGAACTAAGTCGTTTGCTAGCATGACATTTTAGCTAATTAAAATTTAGTCCTAATTGGTTTGATGAAACTTTATGCCTATATGAGATCGGAAGTAATAAATTGTATGCTAGCATAAGATTTTAGTTAACTGCAACTTAGTCCTAATTGATTTGATGAATTTCTTTCGAAAACTTATCTTTTCTATGTTGGAATTTTTTTTATTGATATGTTGGAATAGGCTTAACTCCATTAAACCAAATCAAATTGCTAAATGTTGGTTAATTTTGTATGTTGTTCGTGTGAAACCGAATCAAAGTGAACAATGTCCACCCCTATGAATCAAATATCAACCGCTACCTAAATCAAATAATGGGCTACTCATAATCATTTGGTATTAAACTCGCCATTAATAATGCAATCAGATCTAGAGGATCATGTCTATTAGTGCATATTTGATTCGGTTACACATCGTTATTACACTTTCGACCCTTAAAAGACAAGTTTCAACATAAATCGTTGGGTCCATCGAACGGTCCTTAAAGGAACCAGGCAAAATACATCCTTCATCGTTGGGTTGATGACGACTAGGGTGTTTTTGGAAGGATCAAATCAGAAACAACGTTTTCAATATTCGTTCCAAAATTTCAGAATCAGATTAGATCACAATTTTAAGTTCATATTTTTTTGGCATATTCCGAAATTTCAGAAGTAATCTTGGAATTTTTGGAATATAATTTGGAAATTCATATATTTTATATTTTTTTTAACATTCTCTAACTTTTTCCTACGTACAATTTATTGTTATTTCTTAATATCTGGTATATGTTTTTGCTAAAAAAAAAAAAAAAAACTTTATGATTATGTATAAAAATTTATATAATGGTAGACGTAGACTAGGATGCTTATCCTTTTTAATATGTAAATGTACGTTTAATATAAAAACAATGGACAAAATGTATCCAAAACTAATAATAAAGTTTAAAAATAGATACGAAAAATATAATTGGAGTAATTAACTATAAAGTCAGAATATTTCTATAGTTTGTTATCGGAATAATTTCGGAAAAATTCAAATATATTTTGATGGGATATTCTGAATTTTTGGAATCTCTAAATAAGTTTGAATATTAACTAGAAAATTTCCAATTATTCCAGCCATGAAATTATACTATTGTCCAGTTATTTTGGGTTTGGTTCTATGTTGTTGCTTGTAAATTTTGAGTACATTGATATTTGATAGCCAATTCGTCATCAACGAAATTCAAACATAAGACTTCTTGCTTTCACGTGAAGAGGAATACCATCTTTTAAGATTTGTGTAAAAGCTAGCTTATGCTCGTTAGATGGTCTTTTGGACTATTTTATTCAAATCTATTAGTAAATACTAAATATAGTGGTGGTGGGGAAGCAATTGGCATATGAACACTGGAACCTTACGTGTGAGCTTTAATCAGTCATTCCTAAATTAAAGGCAAGCAGTTTACATCAAGGGAACAACAGAAACGATCTCTACGAGTTATTCCCTTCATTGGAACTCATTTGGTGTTGACAAAACAGTTGAGCAGATACCAGCACTTGCCGCGCCTGCCATAAAACTTCCTTCGTCCTCAATCATAACTCACACTCCCTTAAGCTTAGACATGGTTGTCTTGTTCCTCAAGAGAGTCTGTCGCTATCACCTTCTTCCCTGGCATTCTGAGAAGATATCTTCTCCATGCAATAATTCAATCATCTTCTTTAATTCAACAGGAGGCACTGGCATGCCGGCTGGTTGTGGTGGAGACTGGAGAGCGGTCATGTAAAAACGGAGGACGAGGATTGCCGCCCGTACCGTATGCTCGAAAAAGTGACTCCATTCTTTGAGTCCATTGCCATTGAATGAGCATCCTTTTTGGATTCTTTTTGTGAGGATCATTGAGATTCTTAAATCGTGTCTGTTCATCGTGCGATCAGTTTTTGTTAGATACTATTTACATTTAATTTTAAATAAAAGTATTTAAAATGATTTCTGATCGCACAATGTATGATGAACGGACACAATTTGAAAATCTTGAAGATCTTCACAAAGAGGATCCTCATGGATTGCCATTGTCCTTGAAACTTCTATTCTTTTTAATATGAGCAACCATTAGAGTTTGGTACGCACTTATCAAATGCGAATAAAAGAACTCGTAATTTACAACTGTATTTTGATTTGAGAGAAGCCAATTGACTTAAATTTGACAGAACAATAACTATTAATCTTCTTAACTAATTATTTAACGAGCGCTGCTTCGCTGCTGAAGTTTCAGCAATAATTCCTGCTTACATCCAATTCCAAATGAATACGTGTCTAAATTTTTAATTATTTTAATCAAAAATTTGAACACATGTTCATCCAGAATTTGATGTAAGCATGAGTTCTTACTGAAACATTCAGCAGCCAAGTATTTTCCTTATTTAACTCGGTAATGCTGTCACTCTTGCTCAAATAAATCAATTTCCCCAACTTTTGCTATTATTTACAAGAGGGACGGGACGAGGGTGTCCTGAGAATCAAGGAAGCCGTTGGATTCATCTAACGGCCGTTAAAGGACCCAGGAAAAATACATCGTTCATCATCAGTTTCTGTCCGTCCCCTTCGACTTGAGGAGAAAAGCTGATTCGCTTCAGTTGGCGCTCCCCAGCCCCCGGGATTCCCAATCGATTGTTGCTTCTGCACTTCTGATCGCAAAACCCTAATTCCTAATCCCTAATCCCTAATCCAAATCAGAATGGGAAGCAAAAGCAAAAGCAAGAGAAGGAAGCAATTGGAGGACTCAACCGACGATGACTCATATTCATCGCCTTCCTCAAGCTCCGAGGAATCCGAGCGCTCTTCGAAAAGGCACCGTCGCAGAAAAGACGACGGTGGTTCGAGAAGAGAGAAGGAACGGAGAGAGAAACGGAGAAGCAAGCGAGAGACGAAGAGAAGGAAATCAAAGAAGAAGAAGAGGGCTTATGGGGTTGATGACGGCGATGAGTCCGGTTCTGGGAGGAGTGCTGACGATTCAGAGCCAGGCCGGAGTCGGCTCGATCCGCAACCCGTTTTACGAGAATTGTTCATCGAATTTCCCAATGTTGGGAATGATTTGAAACAGGTACATTTACACCACCAAGTAATTTTGTTCAGAATCAGAATTGATGGATTAGGATTCATGTATCAAATGAAACTCTCAAGATTTGATTAATTAGAGTCAACCCCAATCTTTTCCCGCCATGAAACTGATGATAATTTCATTTACTTTTTGTTGTTGTTTGGCTATGGGATTAAGTTTGAATATTAACTAGAAAATTTCCAATCTTTTCCAGCCATGACATTCTGCTGATTGTCGGTTATTTTCGATTCGGTTCTTTGGTGTTGCTTGTTAACTGATTTTTCGGTTTTGTGTAAAAACATGCTTATGTTTGTTAGATGGTCGTTTGGACAATTTTATTCAAATCTGTTAGTAAATAACTAAATATAGTGTACAATGATTATTCTCGTAAACAGTGGTACAGTGGGCAAGCACTTGGCATATGAACACTACTTCTATTTAGTTGTTTCGTACTAACTGATTCATTATATGGTTGTTTATGTTCTACTTTATAGTCGACTTTGCAATGTGAGCACTAATAAGGTTCTTTATTTTTTTCCACCTCTTGTTTGTAGTGATGAAATTTTACTGATTACATTTATTTGATATAGCTTTTAGAAATGATTGATTGTGGGCAAGCAGTTGACATCAAGGGAATATCTGAAAGATCTTTGATTAAGCATCTGAAGAAGTTGTTCCGTTCATTAGAACTCAAAGAAAATAATGGGGTCTTTTTGTTGCCTTCAAATGTTCGTCCCACGTTGGAGGTTGTTGGGCTTATGATTCAAAAGTCTTTAGAACCTAAAACTGGACAGAATGAGGTGCATCCAGAACAACCAGATGAGGAATACAAACAAGTGGTTGATGAAAATAAAACGACGGTACGATGCATGGATGATGTTGATACTGGCCCTAAAAGAAGGTAGTAACTCTGTTTGCACTTTTTATAGGTCTGTCATTGCTTGTTTTTTTTATTTAAAAAAATCACAAGTGCGAGGTAATGTTTTAGTCCAGTTAACTAGAAGTAGAATCAACCAACTTGTATTAGTTTTTAAATTTTCATAGCCTATTTTTGTGCACTGCTTTATCAATGTGTTCCATAGAAAGAAAACCCATTGTGGTAATTTGTTTCCCTTTGCTAATAGCACTTTATTTGATTGAGGTAGTCAATAATGAAGGGTAAGAATCTATATGCCTAATTTCATGTTATTGGGACGAAGGCGAGGATGATAATGGTGACAACAATGATGAAGAGTGCAGAACTTGAGCTGTAAGCCAAGTTGAACTTCAGAAGGCAAAACTCTCTTTTATAAACATGTGTATATCTAAATGTCAGAATTATCAAAAGGCTAAACAGTCCAGGATAATCACTAAATTGGGTGTAAGAAACTTTGCTTAGGATGTGGGCTACTATGATATGCTAGAGGATCTCTTTTCTTATTGGGAATATGTAATTTTTCGTAAGAAACAGCCTCATAATTTGGGTTCTTCTTGAAAGTACTATAGTTGGTAAAAGTTTTTAATGTAACCATACTTCTATCTTTAGTTTTACGTATTGCATCAGGTACTGATGGGCATGATATATGTTGATCGAATATCTAATGACACTTATGTAGTGCTTAAGAAAGAACCTTGATTTGTTATTTTTTGGTTGATTGCTTGCATTACATTTTAGGACAATTGGCCCTGCAATGCCATCAGCTGAGTTACTTGCAGCAGCAGCCAAATTGACGGAGGCACAGGCTGAGCTCAGGTATTTTATTTGACAGACTATTCAGCTGGCAAATTATTTTGAAACAACTTTGCAATTACTCTAGTCGTGTTTATTGTGAATTACAGTTATAATTTGGGTTACCTGTTGACGTGGTGGTGGATTATAGTATTTTCTTATTGTGACTGCTTGAAATGTTGTGGTTTTTATTACATATGTACAGACAAGCTGAGTTGGAAGAAGATTCTGAATATTTTATAGGACCCCCACCACCTGCCGTGGTTGCTGAAACTGAATCAGCTAATGAAGCTGAGCGGTTTGAAGAGGTATGGTTGTCTTACCTTGCTGACACTTTAACAAAATTAATAAGGAGATTGTATATAGCCTTAGGTTGAGTGAGAGTTCATGTTAAATCATTACATTCATCTCCGCGTAGCCTTCAGTATTGCCCTTCATTTTTTCATGTGCTTTTACACACAAGTGTACATGTATAGGCACATGAAATGAAACTGACAGATGTATATTATGCATGGGAAGAGTTTTAATCTTTAAACAAGTAGTTAAAGAGTCGTTGCGAGGGTTACGAAATGAACTCGAGTGAATATGCACCATAACCATATTTCAAAAGGAAATCTCAGAATTTTCCCTTAGATTCTAGATTACATTGTGCTTTAAGGTTTTGGACGAGAATTTGTATTTAAAATCATGTCTCAAAGGGTGTTTGCTGTAAAATCAGTCCATGTGAGTCTTTGGACTTTTAGAAGCATTTATTTGTAGTCTTTATAATGTATCTTTTTCCTTTTCTGTTCTTATATTATCTGAACTCATCAACTAACATGTAACCAATCAGGTCACAAGGATCATGGATGCTGAGGATGATAGTCTATATGATATTTTAGGAGCAAACAACAATATGTCTGCTGAGAATATTAAGAAAAGGTATAACAGCTCATATTTGTCTCCGATGTTGTTGATGTAATAACAATTCGATGTGCTTGGTGAACCCTATTTTTTATTTGAACTGATCTCTGTTCTTAAAAATATATCTGTAACTGAATCTACATTTGGTATTTGATATGCTCTCAGTATTATCCAGCTTCTTATAATGAAAATGTGGAAATAGCTTGAATAAACTTTTTAACAAGTGTATTTAAAAAAATTTGTCATCGTTTATGAAGGCTGGTCATATAGGGTTCTTCACATCTTTATAGCATTATGCTTGTTGTATTAATCTTACCTGTTTTACATGGTTGTGAACTTCTGAGCTTATGCAATTTGTTATGTTGCCTTTGGTTCTTGTTTATTAATAAACTAATTCATCCTGACCTTCAGGTACTGGAAGATGTCTCTTTTGGTGCATCCTGATAAATGCTCACATCCTCAAGCTCACCAAGCATTTGTTAAGTTGAATAAAGCTTTTAAGGAACTACAAGATCCAGATAAGGTGAGTTTTTCTAACTGACATTATAGGGACGAGGTATATCTATGTTTTGGATGATCACTGTGACTGATTAGTTCATTGGTTTGAATCTATAAGTTTTGTTTCAGTTCCTTTTCTTAATTTCTGTATTTCTTCTGTATGGTAGAATGTCAAGAAAGGTGTGGCCTGGATTCAGGCGGATAAAGTTTCTCTTCTTCAATTCACTTTTTCCCTTTTAGAACATATTTCTGCAAATTAGACTAAAAAAAGTACATTTACCTATTAAAAGACAAACAGAAGGATTCAAAGGGACAGATCGATGCTGGCTTTGCTAATATATTTTGAACTCAGACAATATTGGCCTCACTCAAGATACTGCTCAATCAGACAAAAGAAAAAAGAAAACTTGAATAATTCTCAATCCAATTAGTTGTCCCTGTATTAGTTAGCTTTTTTCTCCCATTGAATAATAATAAATATCTAAAACATTTGTACCCTAAACAATCAATCCAGTTGCACACTTGTCACCTTTTGAGGTTACATTCTTACTATCATTCCTTTAACTAGATACTAAAGAAACTTTTTCTGGGGCATGTATTAAAAAGAGACTCTACTATGTTTGAAACAATTTAGAGGTATTACAGGTTTTCAACAATGCCAAGGTGGAAGATAACTCTGGAAGATTTTATCACTTAACCAGTTAAATTATCAGGAGGAGTGCAACAATAGTTATTAGATTATTGCTTATGATCTCTTCATACATGATGGTACAATAATATTAGTTTTTAAGCCTCCACAAACATATTGAAGTTACCTGGAAGATGAATATAGAGGCCTATTAGACTAGGCTATTTTAAGTGGTTTATATGGCTCTATATTTGTTAAATGTTGAGTACAAGTCTTTCTTTGCTCAAATTGCCCATTTTTAGGGTCGGCAGCCTGATGAGTCTCTCCAACAATTTGGAATGCAGAAATATTCTGCACAATTACATTGTTCTAGGAAGATGAAAAATTATCCAACCCTTAAGTGTTGCTGTCAATACTGGTTTAGCCATGATGTTGAAAGTAAATTATCATTTAGGAAATGCATTGTATTTGATTTGTGGAATGAGGAGGTAGGCTCCATTGTCTTTTCTTATAATGACGGTGAAAACTCCCTTCCAGGCATACATGTAAATATTTGTATTATTCTTCCATTTTATTCATCATTCATTATGAGGTTTTATTCTAAACATTTTCTTCAGCCAGAAATCAATTTGAATGAAATGTTGAAAATGATTTGGTCAAAAAACGTTGTATATGATATGATATTGCAAGCAAGGCCTATTAGTTAGTATCTCGGTGAATAATTAGCTTATTTTCTATCATTCCTCTAAATCAGAGAGGTGTTTATACAAGTAGAAATCACATTAAGGGAAAAAAGGACTTGATCCACCTAATTATACAACTTACTCCTCTCACATAATCAAAACCTAATTACTGGTTTTAAATTATATGATCAATGCCTGATTGAGTTAAATGATCCTATTCTAGGAAGTTTGATGTGTGGTATGATTGATTTATATTTGGCACTCTTTTAAACTTTTTTAATGTTGGCTTTTGGTGGTTTTTTTTTGTCCCACATTGTCTGTTTGTTGTAGCGTAAAGTGCTGGATGACAAGATTAAACTCAAGGAGGAACATGAAAAATTTAAGGTATGAATCTTCGCGAGAGTATTGGATCTAGCTATAATCTGAAAAAGCACCTCTAACTTTGTATCTTTTGCTTCCCTCTAGGTTGAGTTGAAAGCTATGCGCGAGGCAGCACAATGGAGAAGGTTACAAGGTTAGCTAGTGTTTTTTTTTTCCTCTGATATGGAGGTTTTCATCTGTATTTGTCGTCCAAATTCTCTTTTCATGAGCTTCCTTCCTCATTTCCACCCTCCCTTAGTGGGTTACTGCATAATACAAAAGGAGGATTGAAGTAATTGTTATGTTTTTCATGTTGGTAAAAGATAAATGTTATGTTTTTCATGTTGGAAAAAGATTTGTTACAGGGAAGCTTAGCTGAACAAGTAAATGAACTGTAGGCTAGATTCAGAGCACCGTCTGATGTGTTCTTATCTTCTTATTCAAGAAAACCCAGTTGCCTATTTTAGTGAAAATTTCTTTTGATTTCCTGCTTGTGTGTGAAGCATGGGTTGACCTGGAGTGATTCCATGGCACCTCCAGTGTGATGCCAAAGGCTGGTGCGGTTCTGGATTTTTCTTAATCTATTGGTGTGACTTCAGTGACCTTTGGTGCGATACCCAAGGCCGGAGCAAGCCTGGGCTTCTCTTCTTCTCTCCAGCTATTGTCCTCAATCACTCCATCTGATTTCGTGCGAGCCAGTAGAGTTATATAGGATAGAAATAGCCTTTTTGTGGAATTTGGACAAATTTAAGACTAGGAAACAAAATTTCCAGAGAGTTTTCTCCCAGGAAAACATCCTCCCAAAACATAATTATGTCCCCATTTCCAACAAGTTGATAACACCCAATAATGAAGCTTTACCTTGGGATATGCATCTTTCCATGGACTTCTACTTGAGTGTCTCAAGACTCCCTATGATTATTTTACATATTTATATATTTGGAGTGTAATAATTCATTCTACATGCCATATGTTTATCGTGGATATGCTAATACACAGAATTTACATGTCTAATTTATGGGTTAACCTTTCTTAAGTTCTATTGAAAGTTCTATTTTTTAGAAGTAAATTTTGATACTTCCTTTAATCTGGACTTTGGAGTACAAAAATATTACTGATACCGACATTTGTATCCTTTCATGAATCTTCTTCCCGTTCTTGGTTAAAACACTTGTTAAATTACACTTTGATCTAATTGAAGAAAGTTTTGGCAGGAATATCCATGGAGGGTGATGATGAACTCCTAGCAGACATGGATGTTAAAGTAGCACCGAAAAGAGATGAATGGATGACAACGCTGCCACCTGAAAAAAAGGTAAGTGCTTGTTCATTTTTGTTATCCTGTTGTATCAATTCCCTTTTCTATTGCAAAAGTTTCCGGAATTGAGTTCTCCTTGTGGATCGTGACTATGATATTTCCTGTATTCTCTCTTCTCTACATCAAAGCATATTCTAAACACTTAGCAATGATGAAAATACAGGGAAAAATTGTAGTCGCACTTTTCGTATGATTTATAATTTTAGTAAATTACAATAAAAGGTGAACTCCCTTATTTGGTTGGTTGCATGCGCCTTCCAACGCAAATCTGATACATAGGCATGTGTTAGATGATATTATTGGGACAATTTGGACATGGTCCAAGCACAACATGACATGAGATGGGTCATTTTGCAAATTGTTGGTAGCAAGGAGAGCATATAAAAAATGTACTGTATTGTATATGATAATACCCAAAGCGCTCGTTTTAAAATTACCCACCGTAGTTAAACACTTTCGCAGATCTTATTATCTGTGGTCGAAACCTAGAACTGCACCCGTGTTGTACTTGTTACAAAGCTATTAATGCCTATCCTTTTTTTTCATTTCTTTTTTTGTCAGCATGGTGTTGTGAGCATGCAATCAACAAGATTCAACAAGAGCACAAAAGAAGGACGTGGCGATACTAGTTCATGGACTGATACCCCTTCAGACAGAGCCCAAAAAGCTAAGATGGGGTATGAACGCATGATTTGATTGCTTTGCACTTGCATAAAATAAATATTACATGTATATAAACATTTCGTTTACACGATTATGTTACCATTGCAGTTACTTAGAAGCTTATAATCAGGCTGCAGCGCTTGCTTCGAATGAGGATGAAAAGAAAAGGCAGAGTTCAGATGCAGATTTGGTGGACAAATACAACAAAGCAAAACGATCAAAATCATTGGTAGAAAAGCACAAAGAGGAGACTGCAAGCCGTTCGAAAAGAAAATCCAAGCAACAGTCACAACAGGCAGAGGAAGAATGGGTGGGGAAACATCCGTGGAAACCTTGGGATCGCGAGAAGGATTTGGCAGGTGGGAGGCAAAATGTAAAGTTGGATTCAGAAAACATGACTCAGGTTTTATCGTCTCGGTTTTCATCTGGCTCGTACGAGAGGAACTTCCTTTAGACATGAATGGATTAGTTGTATTGTTGTATAATCAAGCAACGCATTGATGATGGGATAACAAATATGCACTCAGATAGTATCTAGTCGTGTGCGTTGCTTTACATTTTACATTAAGTGAAGTTGGAGGGTCGCGAGAATTGGTTACCCAAGTTCTTGGCCGAATACTTTTGACTTGTCCAAACATACCAATTCTCCTCCCACTTCTCTCGATTGTTGGAGGCATTTGCCAAGTGCTTGTTGCATTTTCTGGCTCGAGGATATCTTGTTAATAGTAATGGCCAAAATCTGCTTCAAGTGGCTGCATAAAACATATTCAGAAGAAAGGAGGACTATATAAGCAACAAGGGCATCCAGAGCAAGGGACACTCGAGTCATTCAACTAACAGACTTCAAACTTTAAAGCCCTCTGCCTTTACTTGTTTCAGCTCTTTACCTTACTTGAAGCTCACCTGCAACAAGAACCCTAGAACTTTTAGGATCCTTTCCTTTAGCCTCTAAGACATTTAGAATTTGCTCTGCTATCATCACTCTCGTAGTATCGATTTACCAGCTTTTTAACAGCTTTTAGTTCAACCCGATGGTCTTAGATCCAACCCGGACCAGAGTTTTGTTCGTTGTTCTAGCTTTATTTACGTATTTACATTATTTCTTACTTATCGTCTTTACAGTCAATGATATTTTGAAACTGACGGCTAATATGATTTTACATTAAATGAAGTTGGAGTACATTAGGTGAAGTTGTAGGATTGACAAGCTGACAGCGAAGGCTTCCTACCACGTAATTGTAATATCTAAAGTTAAATTTTTTTTTAGTATTATGGTCTAGTGGTAATTTTCTTCATTTGTTAGTGAGAAGTCTTATATTCGATTCTCATCAAAGACAAATTTGAACCATATTATTGTTAGCCTCATTACGAGACTAAGCATATCCCTCTCCCTTAATGTAGATAATATCGTTTGTCCTAAAAAAAAAAATTTGAATGATTAAACAATTTTTTATTCGAATAATTTTTATTTTATTTTTATAGAATGACCTTCAAATAAAAATTGAGATATTAAACGGTCCAAATTATAAAATTTCTACGATTAGATGTATTATTTGCTGACGGAGGATTGAGCTTATCCTAAAACAATGCAAGCATTCTCCAAAATTTAATTGAAACTTTGAAAGTGAATACTCCCACTCCCACGGCCGCCCCACCCACTCTGAATGGGATAGCAATAAAATAAAATTGTAAAAAACCTGCCACGTCTCTACTCTCTACTACCCGACGCCACGCACGTGATACATAGAACGCACGTGCCAGAGTTAGGCTAGTATTAGCTTTCCTCTCGTCCATTATTGCATTACTAAATGGGGCATTTTTGCCTCAGTATAATTTAGTGTGATGTATTCTTATCATACTATTTATTTTGGTTAAATAAATTTAAAATTTAAAATTTGCATAATAAATAAGGATAAATTTTAAAATTCAAACTCATCTAATAATTATAAATAAAATGATTACCATTCACCAAAAAAAAAAAAAAAAGAATACTTCCTTAAAACCCTTTTCTGAAAACTCCTGGTACCAATCCCCTTCCAAAACCCAAACGCCCAGACCTACCTCCACACTCCACACTCCACACTCCACAGCCGTGATGCAAGCCAATCTCCTCACTCCACCTCCACGCCCCGCCGCCACCGCCACCTCCACCGCCTTCAAGTCCCTACCCCCATCACCTCATGGGCCCCGCCACCACCGGCCCCCATTCTCCGTCAGAGCCTCCATTTCCGAGGCCGCCCAATCGCCGCCCTCCATCACCATCGACTCACCCCCGGCCCCGGCCCCGAAGCAGCACCAAAAGCTCAACAAGTACAGCTCTCGCATCACGGAGCCCAAGTCCCAGGGTGGGTCCCAGGCCATTCTCCACGGCGTGGGGCTCTCCGAGGAGGATTTGAGCAAGCCCCAGATCGGCATATCGTCGGTCTGGTACGAAGGGAATACCTGCAATATGCACTTGCTGGGCCTCTCGGAGGCTGTGAAAGAAGGGGTCCGAGAGGCCGGCATGGTGGGGTTCCGGTTCAACACGGTCGGGGTCAGCGATGCAATCTCCATGGGCACCAGAGGAATGTGCTACAGCTTGCAGTCTCGAGACTTGATTGCCGACAGCATTGAGACTGTTATGGGCGCTCAGTGGTACGACGGCAACATCTCCATTCCTGGTTGTGACAAAAATGTGAGTTTTTTTTTTTTTTTTCAAATTTACTAAATTTCTTATTGTTATTGTGGATGGAAATGTGGGTTCTGTGCTTAGTAGTCTCAGAGCATTTGTAAAGCTATGTTTTCGATTTCAATTAGCAAGGATTGTCTTTTTGGACACTAGAGATGCTGTATCTTAAGAGTAGGCACCCGTAAACGTCCCATGATTCTTTCAAGTACTGTCAGTTTTATTTTCTGAAAAGATCATCTTCTGCTCACACTTCTTGCAGATGCCAGGTACAATTATGGCAATGGGAAGGCTCAACCGACCAAGTATTATGATTTATGGTGGAACTATTAAGGTTTGAGTTCTCTATTTGATTGATTTACTGAAAGTGCGAGTTATGTATTAATTCTTGTTTCGTGTATGATTAGCATTCCATTTTTCGTATATTATTTGATTTGAGATCAAGTTCTCAATGATTTTTCTGTATCTTTATTTAGGATTGATCTTGCATGAGATAACAGGTTTATGAGGGAAAGCTGTATCATTCACTTGAGCATGTTTTTCCTCCATAGTCAACGTTTTTTGCATATAAATAGGATTTTCTTCTTTTCTCGATATCATAAGGTGTATATAAATTAAGCTTGTGTTCTGGATTAAATTTCTGAATCTATGTACTTTCTGGATCTGTACTTTGTGTGTGTTGCTACGAAATAATTTCTCTTATTATTGGAGTCCTGTGGCACTAACCTACAATAACTGGGAATATATTATAACTTCTTTACCATACTACTATCTGATGATTGATGTTGTGTGATTCTGCATCATAGTTGCTCTCAAATTAATCTGCTTGTTGTTATATTCTTTTCAATAGAAAAATATGCGGGCTATCAGTCATAATATTTGTTTTATTTATCTTTCTTTTGTCTTTCTTGCAGCCAGGGCACTTCCAAGGCAATACCTACGATATAATATCTGCATTTCAGGTATGCCCTCTAATTTGAGGTTTGAATACTAATGTCAGAGCTGCCTACTTTTGGTTCTGCGTATAAAGATCTGTCCTGTTAACTTTTTTTTTTTGTATTTTGTAAATATGGTCTTGTTTTCTCTTTGATTTTGTTTCTTTGGTATAAGAAATGGTGTGTGTTTTGGCCCTTTCCATTTCCTCTGTGAAGCCGTCAGTGAATGTGACAATGTTGAAGAAAATTTCTCGTTTATTCCATTAGATGCTTGAAGGGCCCACATTCTGTGTCTTCCACAGTATTTTAACATGTAGAAGTTGATTTCTTTGGTTTTAGCATTTCATTTTGGTAAGCTTGTTTCCAAGACCAGTAATGTAGTGCAACATGCAAGTTCAGTTAATTGTCTAAATCACCAAAAATGTCTAGATTCTAAGTTTTGTTTGCATTTGGTACAAATGGCTGTTCTTTCAATGTTCTCATTAATAATATTGCTAGTATCCATGTTAAGATTCATGAAGGGTTATTGGAGAGGGATGGTCACACAAAATATGGTAGGGCAAGCCTTCTGTGTTGGGAATTTTTTTTGGTTATCCGAATAAATAAACTCCATCCCTGAATGGGGGGCTGTGGAGAGCTTTCAGGGCGGTTTTTTGTTCAACTGCATGTTTAGCATGTCTTTGTTTCCATGAATAGAACAGGATGATCTGGCAACTGCTTGCTGATGTGCGTAAAGTAAACTTCCTTACGCCATTACTGTAGAATATGTACTTGTTTGAATGAAGAGTACTTTCTACCTCTTTACCCTGAATGTAGAAATTTTGAACTTATTCTTGCTGTTGTGATTTTAGGTTCAAAGTCATGGCGTAGAATGACAACCCAAACTTCATTTTTTTTGTCGATAATTGCTTATGTAAATGCTGTTTGCCTTTAACATAAAAAGCTGCTTCAGAACATAAATTGCTATGTTCTCAATGTGGCAATGTCAAAAATTATTCGTAATAGATTTTTTTAATACTTTTGACTGATATCGTAGTGTTATGGAGAATATGTAAGTGGATCCATAAGTGATGAGCAACGAAAGAATGTTGTCCTTAACTCTTGCCCTGGGGCTGGAGCTTGTGGTGGGATGTATACTGCTAATACCATGGCTTCTGCCATTGAAGCTATGGGAATGTCTATTCCTTACAGGTAGAGATGCCTTTGGAACAAAATTTAATTTAATATAATTTCTGTAAGCAATCAAATTTTTATTTTTGCCTTTGTTGTTTTTCCCTGCCTTCTCTAAAAGCTCTTCTACGCCTGCTGAAGATCCATTGAAACTGGATGAGTGCCGATTGGCTGGGAAATACCTCTTGGAATTACTGAAAATGGATTTGAAACCTCGAGATATTATTACTCCAAAGTCACTACATAATGCAATGGTTATTGTTATGGCACTAGGGGGGTCGACCAATGCTGTTCTGCACTTGATTGCTATTGCAAGGTGAGAAGCCAGATTCTCCAGGATACTAAAAATTGTCTTGCATGAAAATATCAACTGACAAGACTCTTGGCAGGTCTGTTGGTTTGGAATTAAATCTGGATGATTTCCAGAAGGTTAGCGATAAGGTTCCATTTCTTGCAGACCTTAAGCCTAGTGGCAAGTATGTCATGGAGGATGTACACAAGGTATCCTTTCTTGCACTCAATGTAACAATTGGTGGCATATTTTATGTGTATATGCCATTTGTTTTATTAGTTATAGCTACATTTGGTACTTATTTCTCTTGACGAGCAAGGTAATGGTTTTCTTTAATAGATTGGAGGAACACCAGCGGTCATTCGGTACCTTTTGGAGAATGGGTTGTTACACGGGGATTGTATGACTGGTATGCATTTTCAGAATCTTCATATTGTTTGCATCTTTGGAATTAATAGTTTAAGTTGTAATGCTTATAACATTAACATAAGGACATCTATTCTGTAGTCACCGGAAGGACAGTGGCTGAGAATGCAGAAAGTTTCCTTCCTTTGGCTAATGGACAGGTAAGATAGCTCTCTTCTCATAAATTAACTGTGTTTTCTGTTGAATCGTAGTGTTTGAATGAAGACCAACATTTAACATGGTTGCCTCATGCTTTCCTTTTATATTCTTAAATTTTACCTTTTCTTCTCACTCATTCAGGATATAATAAGGCCCTTGGGAAACCCTATCAAGAAAACAGGCCATCTGCAAGTATTATATGGAAATCTTGCACCAGAGGGTTCTGTAGCAAAAATTACAGGAAAAGAGGGGCTATATTTCTCTGGTGCTGTTTTCTGTTATTTGTTTAGTAATTTGTTTTTCTTTTCTTTTTTAATTTAAAATACCCTTAACTGCTGAGTTCTTTATTAAAAATACTCCAGGTCCTGCACTTGTCTTTGAAGGTGAGGAGTCAATGATTGCAGCTATCTCAGAGGATCCTATGAGTTTTAAGGTTGATTATTGTTTCATTATTGCAGTTGTCTATGGAAATAATTTGTTCACAACCTTCCAATAGAAAATTCTGGTCTTTGATAAAACAAAAATTCAACATTTCAGTAGTGCTTGACAATCTTAGTGAGGTTTTTTGTTGAATTCTAGGCATATTACTTTCTGCATCTTTGTGTTCTACTAATTATATTGAATTTGAATATCGAAAAGTAATATCTAAGTTCTTGTATTGTATTTATTGTCCTTCAGGGTAAAGTAGTTGTTATTAGAGGAGAGGGGCCAAGGGAGGACCAGGCATGCCGGAAATGTTAACACCAACCAGTGCAATAATGGGTGCAGGACTGGGAAAGGTACAGCTGTTCAAAATCTATTTTCGGGCTTGTACTTGCTTTAGTTATCCAACCGTAATGATTTTGCTTCACACTATTTGTTAGTAGTGTTTTAAATAAAGCTAATGATTATGTTTTATAAGCAATTAATCCCAGCATGACCCCTTCAAGTTCAAGCTACATTGCACTGCATTAGTTGGTATGTAGCTATTGTTTCGTAGTAGATGTTTAATTGGATATTGCTTTTTGGTCTTGCAGGAGGTTGCTTTATTGACAGATGGTAGGTTTTCAGGTGGTTCGCATGGATTTGTTGTTGGCCACATATGTCCTGAAGCACAGGTGTTTTTAACTTTCCATTATTGTCATTTGATTTTAGCTTTTACATCTTGATAGGTTGCGTCTCCTACTTAACCAATTATCTGTGTGTGTATTCCTTTGATTGCATTTTTCCGTGAGCTTCATGTTAGTGAATCTACATGAAAACTTTGGGTACTTTGATTGTTACTTAATGTCAAATAGTTCTTGAAAATAAAAAATTAGTCATCTGTTCCACCAAGAAAATGAAAAACTAATGTGCTACAGCAATCAAGATTATTTGCAACAAGCAGAAAATTTGTTATATCTTAGACACAAGAAAGGAAAAGGAAAAAAAGAAAAGAACAGAGAGTGCTCATGGAATGCGTTGTGAATTATTTTCAGGAAGGTGGTCCTATTGGATTAATTGAGAATGGGGACATCATCAATGTTGATATTGCAAACAAGAGATTAGATGTCCAGTTAACCGATCAAGAGATGGACAGGCGAAAGAAGAACTATATTCCACCGCCATACAAGGTTAACCGTGGAATTTTGTACAAGGTATGTGAGAATCTTGTTCTGCAACCATCCTTCCCGTTTTATGATTGTTATATTAATAGAAATATATCATCTTCTTTATGTGCAGTACATCAAGAACGTGCAGCCGGCTTCAAAGGGTTGCGTGACTGATGAGTAACGATGAAGAATATCCGTAGACGGGGAATAGAGTGTGGTAGCAAGCTCAAATTGGCAAACCCCCTTAGGATGTGTGCAATTGGGTGTAGCTTATGGCGGCTCTTGTAGGATATTATGTCCAGTTGGCTTTGTACCGCTTCTATCGTATGTCGTATGTTTGTGCGTACCAATTTTGCTGGTTCTAGGTTTTTCAAGTTATCCTCTAGTTTTTCAGTTTTTATTTCTGTCTGTCTGTCTGCTATCTCCAACAGAATTTTATTGGTTAGTAATCAACTTTTAATCTCTATTCGTACCTTTTACACATCTTGTTTAATTTTGGGCGTATGTTCTGTTTGATTTATTTGATTAGATGACCATAAATAGAGGTGTGTGAGTAGCCAGGTAATCATTTCATACAAGTTCATTGGTATATTCTTTTAATAACAAAATAATAATTAACCTTTTAGAAAAAATATTAAATACAAAATAAAATAGTCAATTAGCACGCGCGTAAGTGATAACAGTAAGGGTGCTTTGTGAGAGAAATTGAAGAGACAAAGAGAGATGAGTTTGACCAAAATTTCATCTAGAGAGTATCGAATGGAAAGTTTCATCTAGAGAGTATCAAAGGGAGAGTGGTGAAGTGGAAAATTAAGAGACTGTTGGTATTCTATTAAAAAAAATCGTCACTTCTCAAAACATTTTTTAAGAACATCTCTTGAAAATAATTTTCTTTTAAACTCAAAAATTTATTTGGTATAAGATTTGAAATTGTTTTTGGATCTTAAATTTAAAATGGACAAAAAGATCCAAAAAGAAGGCGGGAGAGGAAGAAAGAGGAGAGAGGAGGAAGTAAAAAAAGAGAGGATCAGAGAAGGAGAAGAGAGAAGATCGGATGATATAAAGAGGAGGAGAAAGAAAGAAAAGAAAAAGAGAAATAACGAAGAGAGTGGATAAGAGAGAGGAGGAGAGGAAAAAAAGAAAAAAGAGAGAAGGAGAAGAGAGAGAAGAAAAAAGGGTGACAGATTCGGAATGAGAGGCAGGGAAGATAGAGAACAAATAAAGGAGTGAACTTTAAGTTTAAAAACTTTAAAAATTCACTTTTGTTTTTAAAGAATAAACTTTTTTTTTTTTTTTTTAAGTTAGTCTTAAGTTACCAAACAAGTTTCTAAGGTGTAAAACTTGAAAAGCGTTTGCCAGTTTAAAAAGTTGGATTCAAGAGTTCCAAACATGTCCTAATGTTTTTTTATTTTTTTTGTTTTAAAGGCAAAAGTGAATCAAAATGATAAATAAAAAAAAAACTAATTTGTCCCCATATATTTTAGTATATAGTTTAGTCCGACACTGCACCAAGTAATTCATTATTCCCATCATGTTCAATCCAAGCTAAGCCAATGCAACTTGATCTAATCCGAAATTGTCCGTCCTAACAAACGGGGCTAAAAGATTGAGTGCATTCTAATATTTGGGCCTCCGCATCTCAAAAGGCCCGCCGGGTCGACCCACAGTTTACGAGAGAACCTTAAAACCGACCCGATCCATTTTCCCTGGACAGGGGAAAGGGGGCTGATGGTTCGGTTCATCTCCCAACAGAGACCGAGATTCAATCAACAGAGAGAGAGAGAGATTGGCCACGACTGCATGAGTCCATCTTCCTCTTTTCCTTCTTCTCTTCAAAATCTGGGCTTCTCTTTCGGATTTGAATCCACGACAACGAAAACTTCAGGTTTTTTTCCTTAATTTTTATTTTATTTTGTTTTAATTTAATTTTTGTTTTCAGCTCCTGAATTTTAAGTTCTTTCTGCCTGATTCGTTTCTACTTTTCCCATTAATTCACGTCGTGGCTGGTTTCCATCTGATTGCAATTTTGTATCTAAATTGAGAAACTTGATGTTAAATTAGGTATTAATTATGATTTATTTTTAATATTATGTCTTTTATTTTTTTATAATTGTTTAATTCTTAATTTTCTCCCTTGTTAACTGACTGGGGCTAGATCAATTTTTCTTTCTTAAAGTTCAATGCTTTATGTTTATTTCATAGAATTTGGTACTGTTTTAATTGCTTTCATCTTTATTGATTTATGATTAATTTATAATTTGTTATTTCTAGTATCATGAAATGTGTATATAGTAGTTATTTTGATGTTGGTTAACAGTTGTTCTGAATTTCGATTGTCTACGTATAAATGAGACTTGTGTGTTAACTCTAGATGATCTATTCCATTGGGCACCGGTTAAACCGGTATGACAATGAATAAAGCATTTCATTCTCATAGAGAATGTGGATTTGTTATATGCAAGATTAGAAATACATTATTCCATGTACTTTTTGATTTGATCACTTTTTGAAGTTTTGAACCTTTAACAGAATCTTCTTTTTCATGTTAATGCCAGCCCCTTTGGGATTGTAGGCATGTAGAGGGATTGGGAGGCACTTTTAACTCTCCTAGTTATTAAACTGCATTCCTTGGTAAAGGTTGGTTTGATCCTAACCATGGAATATTACAAGCTGGGCCATGAATCCATTCCTAATTTACTTTTGATGAGCTGTTGACTTTGCCTAATTTTAACTATCTTGAATTTTCAAGTTCATACTTCATAGAGGCCTCTCACAACTTTTACAAAGATATCAAATTTATAGGATCCAGCTTCTCTCCATTTGCAGTACCTAATGGCAGGGCAAGTTAAATCTGAACAGTAAAATCACCACCGGGACCTGATACAGTAGTGCCCTCACCTTGGAAAATTTGGATTCAGCAACTGACCCTTCCATTTGCTGGAAAAGGAGGATGAGTCTTTTGACTCTTTTCAAGCATCATACGGTTCTCCATTAACAGGAGAATATAGTTACCTTTTCCATTCATGAAACCTGTCACTTCTGCCACATAATCTTCAATGACGACGTTGTTCTATGTCTTGGGCCATTACCTATTGTTGTCTTGTTGTAGTTTCCTTCTTTTATATTTTACAGTAACACTTCTCTTCCAATCAAGTTTAATATCAGTTGTCTGAGTCCTTTTAAAATAATTCCCATCAATAACGTGTTCATTATGTAATTCTGGATCTGTTGTGTACTGCATAAAGAGACAAATGTTGATACTGTGCTGCGTAACTTGTCATATAAATGGCACTTCTCCACCCACTATTCCTAATAGTTATTGAAAATAAAGAAAAGGAAAAGGGAAATGATATTTTTTACTTCTGTTCTAGTAGGTGCTCAAATGCTGTTTTTCTTACGGAAAATGTATCTACAAGCAGCTGGTTAACATTTTTTTTTTTTCCTATGATTCTTAGTAATGGTTTTTTTATGCGTACTTTCAATTTATTTATAGCATTTACAGACAAGAATTCTTGAACCAGTAGCAGTTGCTGACTTATTTGATTTTTTAATTATTTTAAACTTGGTGCAGATTATGGAAGACATGGACATCGATCAGGTAGTGGAGGTATCTGACACGCCGGATAGATTAGCTTCCAGACACATTCTTGGCAGAGAATCTGTTGGTAAAGTCAGTAATTCATCATTTGTTCATGACTTGAGTAATCCAAACCTTGTGGATGAAAAATATGTCAATGGGCCAAAAATCAGGGATAATGGGCATAGTAAAAGACTAGTTATACGTCCTCCGAGAAATCTTAGCAATCTTGACAGTAAGAGTTGCAGTAACTCTAATGTTGACAATTCATCTGCTTCCAATAATACTCCCATTTTCCGGAGAGCTACAGTGAGCAAAAGCTCCAGTCGTGAAGCCAAACATTGTATGGGAACTGATAATGTGGACAAGGGAAAGCCTATGAGAATCAAAATCTCTTCCAAACCATCTGCTTGCCAAGGAAATACTTACTTTTCTGATATAACCAAACAGAATGGTTACACTCAATTACCTGAAAAGGATTTTCCACTTGGTGAATCAGACGACCTTGTAGCCGAAGACAAAAGAAAAGGGCAAGTAGTATCAGATGGCAGCTCTTTGGTAAATTGCATTCCAAGTCATTCAGAGGGATCCAGAAATAATCTCAAGGGGAAGGAAAAAATTGATGATAGTGCATTTAATGGTCTGGGTTTAGCTTTGGCTCTTGGCAAAGGAGTTGATCCGTCCCTTGATCCTCAACATAGGCAACAAAATCATGTGCCTCTTCATTCTGTTACCCTTCCGAGAGTTAGTGGCCAAAAAAGGTTGGTACGGAATGGGTGTATTTCCCCCCATAATATAGCAACAAGGACTAAACAGTTAGCTGAAAAGCCTAACAATAGTTCGAAGGATGTTGAACAGAGTCATTCAGGGAATGTGGATTCCAATGGTTCACCATATGTCGTAGACATAAGTGACATAGTTTCTGAAGACAATAATAGTGAAAGAGTGAAAGGGAAAGGGAAAGGTGTAATAATTCATTCTTCTGAACCAAGGAGAATAATGCAAGAATTATTCGTACATCTGGCAGGTATTTTGTTTACAAAGCTATTTTCTTGGTTAGATGCTCTTTTAAGTAAATGTTCTGGTTATCACTTTCTTAATGAGTAAGATATATATTTCAATACCTGGTTTAACGAAGGCTGAAGAATTTAAAGGGTTGCTGACTGGTGGTTACATTTTGGTTTACTATTTAAGAGTGATACAAGGGGTTTGCTTCTTAGATTGTCATAACCTTGGCCTTCTGTTATTTTGTTAGTTTTGAAAAAGCGCAGTCAACCGCACTGGAGCTAAATTCTATATTTGTGTGTGTGTGTGTGTGCGCATGTACATTGGCTTTGATTGCGAGATCCTACAACTGAAACTTTCTAAACATATGTATATATGTGTCTATGTATTTGTATAAAATTTCTAAGTTCGTGATGTGGCAAACCATATTTCATTATCATTTTCTTCCTTTAATAGTTTTGGGCAATGATCGCCAAAACCGCAGAAACTCGACAAAAATAACCAGATGTGTCTCCAGCCGACGACGTTAAGAATTTCTTTTTCCTGCTTGATTGTTGTTGCCAACAGTGTTATTACCGGCGTATGCTTATTGTTTGTTTTAACCAATTCCTTGCGACCTTATGGCATGATATTTTGTTTTTGCAGCAGTCTTGTGAATGATAATAAAGAAGCTAATGGATTCAGTGATCTTGGTAGCGATTTCAACTGGTGGCTGGAGAACTACACGTAATCGTTCAAGGCAAATAGATCATTTCTTGCCTTATTCAACCGAGCATTTTCCCAGGAGAACCAACGGAGTTGGAAACTTTATCAACCAACATCAAAATAGGGTAGATAGGAGGGATACGAGGAGTCGAGGAAATCAAAGGACTGAAGGTTTTGTAGAAGATCTAAATGCAACTCAAACAGCTTCAGGGCATGTGTCTGAGCTAGGCCGGATTGCTGGGCCATCTCATGCAGCAGAGACAGTTATTAAAAGGCACAAGAAACGGGGATTAAGTTCTGGAAGTCATGCTGAATGCTCTTCATCGGTGTCTGGTGACTCAGATATTGTTTTTCTTGGGTCATCCGACGCATCAGAGAGTTTAAAGTCATCTAGGATCCAGAGACCTCAGTTTCAGGGGGCATCAACTCGAGTTATTGAAGTTGATGACTTGTCACCTGCTGCAGGGCACTCTGTCGCTCAAGGTATCAATTCCATGAATGACGATTTTGATGCAAGGGCAAGACAACTAGAAGCTGATGAGATGTTGGCTCGTGAACTACAGGAACAATTATACCATGAGGTGCCCATTGCTGGAGGTGGCGAGGTCAGTGCTTTGTTGTGGACCGGGTTGTGTTTGTGTGTTTGTATATTTGTGCATGTGGACATTCAGATGCTTGTCTTTTACCAAGTATTTTGTATCTGTTCACATTGTAGCAGGTTGATGAACATCTAGCATGGGCACTGCAGCAGCAGGAGGAGAATACTTTAAATACTTATTCTAGAGGAAGTCAGAGTTCATCACATCGTGTGAGTGAGCCTCTTTATTCTCTGTAGTCTGTTGATAGCATGGTTTACTAATTATAAGTGCATTTATGGTGACTTCCACATGATTATTTAGAACTATTCTGATACACATGGTTGTAGGAATGATATCATATCACAGAGATGAACAGATCATTTCTGCTGTGCCAGAGGCCTGGGCTTCTGTCCCTAGAACTGAAAAAAGAAATTATTTCTTGTTCATGCAAGCATTCTGAAATTCGGTCATTGGACAAGTGGTTCCATATGTCGTTGTTTAACTTAATTGACTTTTTTTTTTATTAATTTCCTGTTTTAAAACCAATGCTTTTGTGCCTTAGAAAATGGACATTTATTTCTCTATGAATGACTATGATTTATGCTGTTTGGTGGCGGTATGTTGTATTAATTTTTTTTCTTATGTTATGTAGAGAGGCTCAGCAAGCTTGCATTCAAACAGACAGCCCCTGCCAGAATCTTTACAGAACCATTTCAATAGGAGAGGAACCCGGGCTCGAGACTCTTCCAGCATGGCACAGTTGAGGACTCGCTTTCGCAACCAGTCTAGAGTACCTACTAGAGGTAGAAGTCGGCGATTTCCTTCCGACATGGATCTAGAAATGGTAATTCTTTTTATCCCGTTTATTTCTTAGAGCCTGTTTGAAAAAGATCAAAAAGAGAGAAGAGGAGATAAGAAGTAGAAATGAAAGAATTTAAAGGCGAGAACAGAAACAATAACACACAATTTTTTATAAATAAGGCTAAAAACAATTTTAACGTTTTGTCGTTTCTGGTTTTATCTATTCCCTTCCGGGTTTCCTCACTTCTCTTTTTCTCATCTCTAACTCTCCTCATTCTTGTTATTTGGGAACCAAGAAGAAAGATATTATGAAACGGATCCTTACTGCCTGTATCTTGCTTGCTGTGTTTGATGATTAAATATCCCTTGACGAAAACGGAACCTCTGATTGTCTACTTTTGTTCGTTTTGATCTGATGATCAAATTCAAATTCCCCTTCAAGGGATTGAGTTTTTCTGTTGAATTTTTTGAAGTGTCATGCGCCCTTAAACTGGGTCTTCGTTCTAATGTCCCTTTAACTTTGAAACAATCAATGTCCCCCTGAACTATAGGTTGTCCTAAACAATGCCCTTCACTAGCTTAAGCCGTCACAGGAGTATGTACGGGTCACATGAAATGACCAGTCATACCAGAAAGTTATTGAATAACAAGCAGGTAGCATGTGTGAAAAATTTTCACTCTCTCCGCAGCCACCCAACCTCAACCTTCTTCTAACCCATCACCACCATACTTCCCCATCTTGACTCGCCCCAACCCCCTCCCCAACTTTCTTCCTCCACCACACATCGCTACACCTTCCCCTGCTCCCTCTGTTGTTTTTTTTTTTTGTTTTTTTTTTCCATTAAACTAATTTATGCTATTCGATGCAGACATTTAATGTATTAGAAGCTTTAGAGGCGGCTGTTGAGGACTTTAGTGATGTGGGACTGAATGCTCGCATGCTTCGAGTTCAAAGGGATTTCAATGAGTAAGAGTTTTTTCTATTTAACCATTTATGTCTTGCTTATTCTCATCTGAGCCTTGTATCATGCTAGACTTTAAAATGATAATTTTTTTATCAAATGGTTTCTTACATTAAGATTCTGGGCATGGTTAATTAATTTTTAAATCTCAATTCAAATACCAGTTAATTTTTGCATCTTCATTTTTTTCTTTCAGCAATGACTACGAGATGTTATTGGCACTTGATGAGAACAATCATCAGCATGCCGGTGCAACAGCACATCAAATTAATAATTTGCCACAATCTACAGTTCAGGTAGGTGGAGTAGAAGTTGAACAATTATTGAGCTTCTTGTGGCGGGCATATTCCCAGCCATCGTATCTGCATGTTTACCTGCTGTGAAGTAATTGTTTGTGGTTTCTTTGTTGCACAGAGTGATGTCTCTGAGGAAACTTGCGCAATTTGTCTGGAAACCCCAACCATTGGAGAAACAGTTCGCCATCTACCTTGCTTGCACAGATTTCACAAAGATGTAAGCACTCCAAATTCTTGTTTAATTAGCTTTCTCCATGCAAATAAAGCCATCGAATATCTCAACTCTTGTTTTTGTTGGTTTCCCATCTTGCTCTCTCTCTCTCTCTCTCTCTCTCTCTTCTCCCATCTCTTTCCCGTTTCATTCAGTGCATTGATCCATGGCTCGGTAGAAGGACTTCATGCCCAGTTTGTAAGTGTTCCGTCACCTAGGTTGCACCGCGATTCACCATTCAGGGTAGCTTGCGACAACAGCATCTTAATTATGTTTGTGGGGTCAAGGCAGTCGTGGGTTCATTTTTGGTTTTCTTCTTAAGGATGTTCTTAAGAACTTGTTCAGGTGGTAACATCTGGTCTTCTGCTCATACCATAAAAGAAAGCTCAACTATGCCTGTGTAGCTCGATACTCGAGTGATTAATTTAATTTCCAGGCCTGATTAGCTCTGGTTTTTCGTATTTAACGTGCTGTCAGCATAAGTTCCGATGCGTATGAGTACGAATCCAACCTCATTACTGGATCAATGCTCATTTGCGTTAGGAATGCCCTGATTGTTTGGAATTGGATAGGGTAAAGGTACGCATAAGCGTAGTATTTTGGCATTGGCGAGCATTGTCCGATCTGCGCTTCCCATATGTTAGTTTCTGCAACATCTTCGCCGTCGCAGTTGAATTCCACAAGCCACACGCGGATAAAATTTCAAAGTTGGTTAACAAATTAAGTTAAAACTGTCTACGTGGCACATATAGCATCCATATGACGCTTGTATGGCACACACCGTATCAACAGTGAACATCATTCGTCCCATGTAGACCTTTTAATGGATTTATTAGAACTTTGACAGTGGGGGCATAGTGAGAAGAGTGTCAAGGGGTTAACAAACGAACATTTGGATTTGACAGGATTATTACGTTGGACTCGAGTTGAGTTTTTAAAAGAGAAGAAAATACGGGCCATGAAAAGTCAAGGTCCTGTGTTCGAATCCCCCTCCTCGTAGCTTAGTGTAGATTATCTGCACTGACCTCCACTCCACGCAGCTTCATCTTGTGCAATGCAATGATCAAATGAGGCCTCTTACAAACCTTTGCTCAAGTGTGTCTGCAAATTCAAATTTCATGTTCTAAAATTACAGTTGATTTAAGCATATTCAAGGTTTATAGTTTGAAACCATAATTTTTTCTCGCGCTACTACCAAATGCCATCACATTCTCTTGTAGTCATCGAAAGCAAACAGAAGATAACAACGACATAGACACCTCGAGGCTCGACGGCTACACATTCCTTTTTCTTCCGAAAGAATGATTAGCAACACTAATCTTCATTATAGCACTAGTGAATTGACAACTACCTACCACCTCATTTCAAGAGTGATGTCACACTTCGTAGCAGCATCGAGTGATAAGGAAGGAAAAACGTATGTAATTCACTGGCACTGAGTGACGAGGAACAAAACGTATCTCACTCACTCATGTTCTTACTCGTGATAGATCAGTGTGTATCAAGGGAAGAAATCCATCATCATCCTATTTTCCTCAACTGCGGACATCAAGCCACCTTTGACTACGTCATCGGACGAGCAGTAACACTTTCTTTTATTATCTGAAATAATAAGAGTACAAAATAACTCTCACTATTTTCTTCTCCTTCTCTCTAACCTTGATATAGCTAACTGATATTTTTCTTCTCCATTCCCCTTCGTCTTTCTTTCCTCTCCTCTTCCCATGTCTTCTTCTCTCTTACTTGAACGATTGTCTTACAGGCGTGCCTTTCAACCTAATAAACCTATCAAGTCACTTTTTTTTACAAGTTCATAACAGTACGAGTCATCCACTTAAATCAAATAATAAATGAAATACGCATGACCTTTCATATGTACAACACTTGGAGGCTTTTTTGCCTCGTTGAGAGGGGTTAGCCAAATCATGCCCCACCATTATTTTAGTCAAAAGTAAATGTTTCACTCCGCAACAACTTGAATTATTAAATTATATAATTAATTATTGAGCAAACTTAAATAATTAAAAGCCTTACCTATTTGCCTTATCTTTTAAACAAGGCAAAATGGGCAGGCAAACCGGCCACGTAGCCGTCAATGTACAAATTTGCCTTACAATTTTTCAATGCTCCAACAAATTTCACCTTTCGGTTCCTACTTCTATATCACTCTGCTGTTTGCTTTGGAATGGAATTGGAAGGCGGTGAACGAAAAATCCAACGTTATCCTTTCCTCGCAAAAATTCTCACTTCCTCTCAACTGATATTTTGGAGACGTTTTCGTTCACTATTGTGCCAATAGCGACATAATTTCATGTAATATTTTCATTTCAAGCTAATCTACTTGAGTTACAAATTTTTGTAATTTATTTATGTCCACCTATAAATAATGCGATATTTAACTTGTTATACACGTAAGTCAAACTTGAGACATTATATAATAACATAAAAAGGATGAATGAGTTCACCATCACATTTTAAATACATAAGAATATTTTGCTTCACTATGATATCTCACTATATCAAACATTATTAAGAGGAATTGCAGAGACAAACTCTGAACATAAGATAAACAACAGCACAGATCGAGCCCAAGGGGAAGGAGATCCCGATAGAGTTCGCATCTCATGACCTATGAGACTAGATAAGCCAATATAAAAATGCAGCAACCTTATTGCAACGCTTCATTATAATTTTCGTTCTCAACCCTACATTATTGATAGGAGCGCGACGATGTTCGATAGATAATTCCTTCTACCTAGCATCCTTTGACAAAAGATGAATGTGGGTTTCAACTTTGCGCGCATTACACAGTCCGTCGACAGAGTCCCCCCTTTCGAAAACAGCTGCTGCCCCCATCCCTGTGCCTGCATTTTCCAAATAACAGCATTGTTGATAGTTGAAACGGGCAATAATATCAATGCTCCCGCACACAAAAGAGAAGGGGAAGAATCATTTACCTATGCACATTGATATCACTCCAAAGCGGCAATCCTTTCCACGTCGCTTCATCTCATGCAATAAAGTGGCAACAGTGCGAGCACCTGCAATGGTCAAATGAGGTCTCAGTACACTCAGACAAACTTTTGCTCGAGTAATTAGATCTTTGCTAACAAATTCAGATTTCGTATTCTGAAATACAATTTTAATAAACAGTTAAATTCATGAATTTTGGTATCTATTAATATGTAAACTTCAAAACTCCATTCCGGACAAATTTAACAGACAATTTAATCTGTTAGCAAACTGAAACCATTCTGTTTATCTTTTACAGATACGAACACTGTACTGAAAACCACAGAGAGGCAATAGGGAAATCTAATCAAAAACAATCCAGAACCTACAAGATCAAAGAAGAGGTAGAAACTAAATATATAGGGTTTAAGCATGAAGCAGCTTCCCATTTAATTGAAATAAAACTCTGGTTACTGGTGTAAGAATAAGGCTGCCAAATTACAGTTTCAGAAATAGTTGCTAGAGAAAATTGGGATTTTATTTAAAAATTAAACCCTTCAGGATCCAGTAACCTATAACAATACTGGAAGAAAGTAAAACACAGTGCAGTGAGCCATACAAAGTGGAATATTAAGTATGTACCTGTTGCACCAAGTGGATGCCCAATGGCAAGTGCACCTCCATTAACATTGATCTTCTCTGGATCAAGGCCCAACTTGTTACGGCAATAGAGATATTGGGATGCAAAGGCCTGCACAGCGGGGCATTTTTTATGTTAATTTATACTTGCAATGCCTAAAATCAGATGCAGAGATTCTACACTGATTTAATACCTCATTTATCTCAAAAAGATCAATATCATCAAGCTCTAAACCAGCAGCCTTGACTGCAGCTGGAATTGCAACAGCTGGGCCAACACCCATGATGGCTGGATCCACACCAACAGCAGAAAAACTCCTGCAGAATAAAAACAGGGCAAAGTTATAAACTTTCAAAATAGTGCCAGCTCATTTAGATTAGCTTGGGAGGCAAAATAAGTCTATTCAGAACTACAATATAATTTTAGAGGAAGTGAGATCCATTCAATGCCAACCCTCAAGTTCTGAAATCCTATTCATACGCTTTTAAGTGAATAGAAACTGATTAGCTGTGAGCCTGTGAATTACAGAGACTTATGTAACGTAGAACCGAGTGCCAATTTGGTTTATCCCAGAAAAATTGCTCGATTGAAAACCCAGGTTCAGAGCTTTAGTAGATATAAAGTAGCAAATCCTATAAGCATGCTGATAGAAATAAACTAGCAAACTTCATAGGTACAGAAAAATATGCTGGGTACTGAGACCTACAAGATAGACACTTCTGAGCCTGCTTGTTGAAAAAGTAAGGGAACATTGGACTCCCCAAATCTTAGTTTCACCAGGCCGAAATTGCAGGTTAAATAAAAAAAGGGTAGCCCCTACTGTCCAATAGATGCACGACTTCAACAAGAAGCATACCTGAATACACCCAGAATTGGCAATCCTTTTTGCTCAGCAACGCTTCTCTTCATCAAGAGAACAGCTCCAGCACCATCACTAACTTGACTAGAGTTACCTAAAAAGGGTATACCAAATGATGATATTGAATAATGCTGATACTTTTTAAATAAATTGATTTATCATTTGTCAGAAGGTACCAGCAGTGGTGCTCCCATCTTTCTTAAAGACAGGCTTCAACTTCGCCAGGTCTGCCAATGTTGTGTTCCGAATCCCATCATCAACAGAAATTGTAACAGGTTTCTCCTCACCAGATTTTGGGTCAACAATCTATTGTAATCACTCAAATCAGCGCCACATAAAGACCATGAATGCCCTTGAACAAATGGATGCAAACATAAATCTGCCAAAACTGTACATTACCTTGGTTGCCACGGGAATAATTTCGTCTTTAAATTTACCGGTAGCAGTAGCAGCAGCTGCCTTCCTATGAGAATCAACCTAAAACAAGTAATTTGAAAAATCAATAAACATTGACAAAGCAAAGTACAATACACCAAACAGAAAGATTTATTCAACTTACTGCAGCCTGATCTTGCTCCTTGCGTGAAACTCCAAATCGATGAGCAACATTTTCTGAGGTGATTCCCATAGGAAGAAGGCAATTCTGGGCTTGTTCAAATATCTTCACCTGACCATCATGCAAATTTATTAATCTTACAATCCTGTTAAAGACATCATTTGTGCAAGGAACTATTTTTCTAAAACGGAAACAAAGGACAAAAATGAATGTGCATGTGAAGAGAGAGAGAGAGAGAGAGAGAGAGAGAGAGGCTACTTTAGGGTTAACTGATCCTTCCCATGCCATTGGATTTGCAGTCATAGATTCCAACCCAGCCCCAATTCCTGCATGACATAATCCAAGAAAAGGTAAACTAAAGATAAGGATACTTGTCTGAAGCGAATCAATCCTGGGACAATTACAAAGAAAAACCTCGAGAAAGACTAACCAATATCGTAAAATCCGGCCCTTATAGACGCAGCTACATCAGCAACGGCCTGAAGCCCAGATGAACATTGTCTGTTCACGGTTCTAATTGGCACAGTCTCTGCACATTATAGCCATCATGTGCACGAGTAACGATTAACAAACAGTTGACACACTTAAGGTTCATTACATTTGCTTTCGGGGTAATACACACCTGGGAAGCCAGCATAAAAGGCAGCCATCCTGCACTCACTAGCTCTTTGAGATCCTGGAGCCAACACTGTACCCACAACAATATCTCCAATTTCACTTGGGTTCACATTGGTCTTTTCTACAACTGCCTACAGCAAAGCAATTATCGTCCCAGTAAGAAAAAAGATATTCTTTCTATCAATTCAAGATAACAATCGTTCATGGAATAATACTTGTTCCTACCCAACTTCACCAGAAACAAAACAAGAATGCAAAACCGAAGATAATGGTAATAACAAACCTTCAAAACAGGTGCAAGAAGATCATCAGCATGAGTATCCTTGAAGCCGCCGCGTTTCGCCTTGCAAATCGGAGTCCGATAAGCTCTGCAAGCCAAAAATGCGCAGAATTGTCACCCAAAAACACCTCAAGAATCTCTACGAATCGATACACATACAAAATTGAACCTGATCGAGGAGCATCATATCATATCATTTGGGAAAGTAAACAACTTACGCAACAATCACCACATCATCTCCGAACACGTTTGTCCTCGCATATGCAGCGCTGTCCCCAGCCGCACATGCCGATGCCTGATACCAAAAATACGCAAAACAAATCTCCCAAAAATTAATAAACCGCCATTTATTCCAGTAGTCTGTAGGAGAATGAAATTTGAGTCCGAAATCGGTTTTATCAAATTACAGAGCTGGAATTCGATCGATTTCAAATCTTATATATATATGTTTTGTTGAATCAAATCAAATTAAGGATGAATCGATCTTTGGGGAAGACGAAGAGGAGAAAGAGAGGCTTACGGAGAGAGAAGAAGAAGAGTCGGCGGAGGGAGGGCGGAGGTGGTCGAGCAGAACACGCTGCCTGTTGATCGCTTTCTCCATTTTTGGTGCTTCTGCGTCTTTGTGTCTGGTGTGAAGCTCGAAAACTGGGTGAGATAGTCAGACAAGCAAGCAAATGAAGGGCCGCGTCTGTTTGGTATTTATAAAAGTGAGAAATGCCGCCTCGATCCTCGGCCCGGGCGGTTCAGATCTGTCTCGGCCAATGCATAGATGATTCGGTTTTTTCACAATTATTAGATTTTGTTAAATTTTCAGGTGTGACGTACAAGTATTCTGCGAGTGTTTCACTTCCACCCTTCCCTTCCGCGCGTGCTTTGCATTTGACATATATATTTTTATTATTTTAACCTTCTGTATCTTACGAAGGGTGATTGTATTCATATTTGTCAATGATTGAAGTAAGTTAGGGTAAGTTTAGAATCTAAAATTTAAATTTTACTTTAATGATTGACGTAGGTCTAATATGAGAAGGACAACTTGGGTAACACAAACATTTTTAGTGTTTCAATCATTGAAAGAAGTATTATAGAAATTTGTCCATTTTGCTTAATTCAAATAAACATTCTTCTTGACCGTCTTCAAAAGGTTATACATAAAGTAAGCATATTGCGATTTGATGGACATTGGCCATCAAATTTTAGGCTCATTTTCGTCCTTCAATTGAAAGTTATTTATCGAGTGAATATAACATGGTGTAAAAATTAGGAGAAAAAAAGTGGAAAAAATAGTAAGTTGCTCCAAAGTACGCGCTTTGGACGGGCGTGGGCTTTTTTTTTGGCAATATGAAAGCGAAAATATGGGAATGCGTGCCCGCTTGTAAAATGGAAGATAAAGATGGGGATATTCATTTTATCCTTCTAGAATACAGTCCTATCACAAACTAACAGACAAAATCGTCTGCCCTCCCACATCTAATGCTTTTCGTATCCTCCTGTTTTGTGTGATCACAGTTAAACCACGTCAACATTTTATATTATTTTTTTATACAGATAATAAGACAAAATTGAATAGTAATATAAAATGTTAATGTAGCTTAATTGTGACCACACAAACAAGAGGGCACCAGAAGTGGGAGGGCAAGCACAGCGTTGTTAAGATATAATTATAAGGTCATCTTCAACCGAAAGATGGCCACATGGCTCGTTTTAGCCATCTAAAACTTCAACAAATTAATATTATAATGAACAGTGCAGGGTCATATTTCTTACCATCTCCAACCAAGAGTCAAAGGGTCATAGGGCTCGTTTTAACCCTGTCACAAAAAATCATCTCCAACCAAGGGTCAAACATAATTTATTATTTAAATTTAAAAACTACAACAACTTAAATTTAAAGTCCATAATCAACATTATCTGCATCTTCCACCATTGCAAGAGTATAGTCGGAGGTAAACAACTACCACTGGGCCATAATGTCCCTATTTTTTTTTAATCAAAATAGGCCTTACTCATTGAACTATAATCCGAAGCGTTCCTTTGCATATTTCTATCATCCATCTCTTCTTGTATTTGTTTGGCCCGTTCTTCATGCCTATGGTTCTTTTCTTTCGTGACAAAGGCATTTTGCTCCGCCATTAATGGCAATGAGGTCGCCACTTCCTGTTGAGCGACGTAATCATCATTTGCATTGCCCTTTTCCTTCAACCTTTAGGCCTTATTTCGTCTCATAGCCCTAGGTATAGAACCTTCACCCGAAGATGGATTTTCCACCCTTGTTTGTTGAATGGTAGGAGATCCATCTTCATCCCCATCTACAGCTGAGGATTAAGTTCAGAACACCGACGTAGGACCTACTCTATGTTGAGGTGGATCTTCAAATAACATCCACCCTTTACAAATTTCCCAACAACTGTGAAACTTAAAGGGTTTCGAACTGCCCTCCATATACAATTCCTCCGCTTGGCGTACCTAGAAAATATAATTACAAAAAGTAAAGAAATTAATTTATGAAATTAAATATAATATAATTAAATATTTAAAATAAATTGTGAAAAAACACTTGCTTCGTCGTAGTAATTGGCGCCGCTTTCATTTCTACTTGCGGCTACTAACAGTGCTTGATGCCATTTATTCAAACTTTGATGAAGATGTTTCTTCCATCTTGAAGAACAACTCTCGTGGTTACGGGTATTCGGTGGAGTGGTGCCTTCGTAGAACTCATAGTATTTTTTGGACACACGAGTCCAAACACCTTCACTTGTTTGAGAACTTCCCCTCACACTAACTTCCAAGACCCATCTATAAGCCCTACAAAGAGCTTCATCTTCTTTTCAGGTCCAAGCCCTACCTTTCATTGCAGACGAGGCCATTTGAAAATTATTGAAAAAATTGAAGTAAAGATTATTGGAAGAGGTAAGAAATTATGAGAATTGAAATGGTGAAAATTATGTGGGAAATGGTGTAGGAATGGCTTAGGTATTTATAGGAAAAAATGAGAATTTAAAAAAAAAAATTGGCCAAAAAAAATAAAAAATTCAAATCCAACGATAACTGACATCAACTAGCCATTGTGTTTAAATTCTAGCCCAGCTTGGTGCTGGTTGGCTGGCTGGTTTAGGTTGGCCGGTTGGCCCTTTGGCCCTTTTTTGTCCAGTGGGGCCCACGAGCCCTTTGGCCTGGCCTTCGGTTGGAAACATTCCTCTGGTCCCTTCGGTTGGAGGCCTAAGTACCCTTAAAAAAAGATAAAAAAAAAAAAAAAGAAGAAGAAGAAACATATGTCTTTTGTGTACTCGTGTTGCTTGAATAGATTTTGAGTATTGAAATTTAATCCAATTTTGTGTGATTTTGTCGAACTCCCCTTTTCTTAGTGTAAAAATATCGATGTACTAAAAAAAAAAAAAAGTAAATCCAATTTTTTTAACTAAAAAATATTTTTTGAATTTCAAGTAAAATGGTAGAGTGTTTTTAGAAATTAAACTCAAAATCAATTTTAATTATCTGTTCGTTTGCTTGCCCTTGAAGAAACCGAACATAGAGTCTTTATAATCTTCATCCAGATATATGTCTCTAAATAGGATTAAGCATTCATGTCCAAGTAGGGTTTAGAAATATGAGATTTTTTGGTGTAAACGAATTTAGAAAATTATAAAACTCCCATGTATGAACATATGTTTTCTCCATTCACCCCCTCAAAATCTTCCAATACTTAATTGAAAATTTGGATGCTCAATTGTTGATGAACGCTCAAACAAAATACACAAGTATCTAGACAAGGTTGCAAGGTGTAACTTTTATAACTTGGCCGACAAGAAATTTGAGTAAAAATGGCGAAAACCTAGGAGTGATTGAGGACTTCTTGGGTCTTACAGAATATAAAATGGGATAATGACCGTAAGCTGTAAAAGAAAAGCTAAGTGAAAAGGAAAGATCGATTTTCTAAGACATAAACTAAATATAAAAACAAAAAAACAAAAATTGGGTTTATTGTTATCACTCCATACACCGAAAACTCATACCGCCCGCATTGTGCTTTGTTAGTGAATGAAGCACCAAAAGCTCTTAATTTCATAAGATATGTTGTGGTGATTAAACTTAAATGTTAAATTGAGGGGTGAAAACTGTGTTCATCATTCATACGGAAGCAAATAAGGGGATAGATTTCAATAGCATTCCAAAAGGAATGCTGATTTACAAGCATCCAGGTATTCCTCCATTACATAACTTATGCTAAGGATCCATTGCACATGGTGGAGAACATAAAGTGATTTAACTACCTAGACAAGGTAAATATATATAAACTATACAACCAATGCGAAATACAAAACCGTCCCCGTCCTAAAATGGCTAGCAAAAGAGGACGGGTATAACCTAGGAAGGTAAAGAACTCCAAGATTTAGAGCATCTGAAAAGTTTCCAGAGACATTCCAAAGCGACCTAGGTACACTTGAAACCACGGCAAATGGTTAAATATATCATGAGGGCTATGAGAATGAGGATCCCCACGACAATCAGTTTCATCTTCATGTTCTGGAACCACATCTTTCTTTTCATTTTTGTTCCCTGTGTTCTGAAATCTTGGGCCTGCAACAAGCGAAAAATGAGGGATGCTGGATAAAGAAACGAAAGCAAGTGCAGCACCCTGCAGCGTCTGTCTAATCAAATAACCATATCATCTTACCGCACCCAACCCTAACCGGGCATGGGTTTCCAGCAGTTAAACTAGCTGAAGCAGTAATGATTCTTGGACTAACCTGGGAGCGAAGATTATCAGTTTTATCCACCAACAGCTCAATCTTCTCACCGCGATCAAGAACCTGCACAACATATGAATTTTCACGACTAAAAATCGATGACATATTCACCTACTTAATTATAATGAGAATGCAAAAGGAATATGAATGATAAAAAGGTGTTAGAGTGAGAAAAGTCAGAATGTATATTCTCATTTCAGTGAGAAAAGGAATTCTAAACCGCAGGAATCGAGTTGTACCTATTACAATTTACAAATGCTTCTCAGGAATCAAAATAAAAATGCAAGAGAAAATAACCAAAATACACACTGAAGTCATTGTGGTGTATACACAAAATTAGTCAGAGATAATGATACTACGACCATAAATTATCATTTGTCCAACCAAAAATTAAAACTTGTCCGGCAAATGTTTTAGCGAAGGATTTTGCGCTATGAACTTTGCTCGACGGACTGTTGTCGGGCAAAATTAGGGGTGACGAAAACGTACTTGGCTCGACAAAGTTGTTTCATCTGGAAAGGGATTTTTTTTTTTTTTTTTTTTTAAATTTCTTTTGGGTAGTGTACCATTGCTAAAAATAATATAGGATAATAGGAATAGGCCGCTAGTAATCAGAAATAAGTGTGCAAAAGTAGTCGGTCTTAACTTCCAAATTACTTATAGAACAGTTACAAAAATATGCAAAAATAAACAGTAGCAGTTTACTCTACCTTCTCAATATTTTCCATCATAACACCCTTGACCTCAGTAACCTGAGCCTTCACTTTTGCCAGCTTGTTGATCTCTTCAGGGTGATCAACACAGTACTTCATGTGGTCCTTCAGTTTGGGTCTAAAACATCCATACAAGAGTTAGCGTATTATTCATGAAAAAATACAAAATTTGTTGCCATGAGAACTGAGGACTTGAAGAAATAAATACCCAAACTCTCTGTTCAGTCCGTTGGCAACAGCAGTCGCAGCTTTCCCACCACCATATCTTTTGTTGAAATCATCCTTGATT